CCAGACGATTTCAAGCAGCGCAACCCCTATTTCGATCAAGCTCTGTGCGCCATCGAGATCCGGTAGCACGAGCATCCCCTGATAAATAAATACCAGCGTAACATTAGAAATGCTAGAAACAATGGTGCATGCAAACCTTACCGGCAATCAGGGAACAGATCGTCGCGTGTGGGAATCCATTTTGCCGAAATGCTGTGAGTTTGGCACGTTGCTTCGGTTTTGACTCCAGAAGTTGCCCCCACACGTCATCATCCATCATCGGTTTGCCAGTGTTAGGACATACACCGACCACTCAAGCTAGTGATGTACTTGTACAGGTCGTAATCTTGCATAAGTCACGTGTATTTGGACTTGTATTGACCTAAAAAAGTGCAAACGATACATACAAAAGCCACCGATGCATACCCAGCATTAGAACGAGTATACGGAAACCGTGAGGCTACCTCTATATACCTTTTTCGAGAGTTCGCCCGTGCTTCTTGTTTAGGGCCGACACCAGAGTGCTCCATGCCTTCGACTTAATGCCTTTGTCTGTCGCCATCGAGCGATCGTTCCTGGCATCCAGAAACTTGTCAAGCAAGTCATGCTCCTCCATTTCAGTCCATGAAGCCCTCGCAGTACTGCCATTGGCATTGCTGGTGGTTGTAGCGTTGGCCATGACAGACAGACGTTTGAGTTCTCGAGGGCGGAAGTGGGAGTGGCAGTGAAATCTATCTTTAGTGGGTTGTCATTCGCTCGAGGGGAAACCCCCTGCTTCAGTGCCTCTCGCTCAAAATGGCGGGTAAAATTCTGCTCTCCCCCTGAATTTCACAATCATGTTAAAAATGCTGTTACCGAGAGATAATGCGATTCTCAGCTATTTGTGTTCGATGCCGAGATTTAGCTCTGGAATCGTATTATCACCTCAAAATGACATTATCGCAGCATGTCGAACACATCTTTCTAAGAATACAATTTACGAAGTACTAAACTAGGGCTGTACCATCTACGCCCTAGTAATTTTAAGATACCGGTATTATAACTTACAGCATAGGTAGATAACTCGTTGCTTGAAACCTAATGCACAATTTCATGACATTATGTTGCCCGTATCTCCTGCGCCAGCTTCGCAGCCGCAGTATCTGCTGGCCTCCTAACATCGTTTGCCGGTGATGCTGCAAGTGGCTACGAAAAAAGCTGCTGTGTTTCTTATCTCGACGAAATTGTTTTTTTTTTTCTGCAGTCGCCCTGTGTTT